CTAGAATCGACCTTAGCTTTAACCTTTAAAGCACGTTCATAGACAGACAATGTTAAAGGGACACTTGTATTAGTTCCAACTGAAACCTTCCCAACAGTCCTCTTCCAATGTTAATCTGTAAAGTGAAATTCCTTTTCCACTTTCCCTCCATCCCAGGAAGTTAGAGGTCACCGGCACAATAACCCCCTAGATCTGATTCAGTGTCGTCTTAAAAGACTCCATTTACCAAGAACACAATCTTGAACTCCAGCAGAAGGACACTCTCACTTATCAACCCACCACCCTGCTGTAATCTTATTTAAGATACAGTATCCTATTATCCATAACTGAGTCATCATTAATGCAGTTATAGCTTTTGCATGAAATCAATGCTCTTCTAATGACCTGTAGTGGCCTTACCAGCCTATCTGAGGCCATCCAATAATTAGCCTGCAAACAAATCCATCCACACACATCCACACACACACACACATCCACACACACACACACATCCCACACACACACACACACACACACACACACACACACACACACACACACACACACACACACACACACACACACACACACACACACACACGTCACAGGAATTGTTGTGTAAGGCTTCTGACGCATGGAGGGGGGTAAAGTCCATATTACACCAATGTGGGACATTTGGCAGGGATCAGTAGCTCAACCCTCTTCATAACCAGGGCTAGTATATGTTTACCAGATATTCATTCTTTACATTTATTTTATTTACTCTATGACTCAAATGCTTTTTATTTCATTATTTTCTATGTATTGCCAGTGTCAAGACAAGTTTATGTTACAAATATTGACATACTTCAGTTCAGACTAAAGGGAAATCAATCAAATTGATTTATCAATAATACAAAACAAAATGAATAGGTGTAATAAAGTTAAACTTTTATTGCAAACCAAACATGGTCACATAAATCTTAAACAATTTGACAATTTACAGTACATTTAACATGAATTGTTACATATACATATTTAAGCATACCTTTAGTCATGTTTTGTTCAATATACATTAAAACGTGTACACATAACTCAAAATATACAAACAAACTTAAATACCGTCAAACTGCATAACAGCAATATTAAAATGGAATGTTCAGTTTCAATGCAATGGAAGACTATATGAGGGGGACACAGTTGGCAAGCAGAGCTACACAAACACATAACTCTTTCTCCCCTAGCAGCTGTGCTCTCTCTTTCTCTCTCTATCACCATTATTATTTTATGTGCAAATGTAGATATAAAACATAATTTGAGTTGTTCACGTTTCGCATGTAAATGCCAGAACTGGTGTGTTAGGTTGGTGCTAAACCAACAAAAAACATATTAAACGTGTTGACTCTAAGGTCGACCCAGACGAACCCAAAAGATGGAGAGAAAAAAACAAAAGGCACCTTTGAGAGAGAAAATAAACTTCCCCCTCTGTAACATTCAGCTTCAAATGACTCCCTTTTCCAACCAAACAGAATGTAAATAAGAAGAAACTAAAGCACCAACACAAATGTCATATTCAAGCTATTCAGTCCAACTCAGTTACTGTTGGTCCCCCATGGGTGGTGTGAAAAAATCTTCAAAGAGGGAAGATCTTTTTGTGATGAAGATAGAAATCCTGGTCAGATCTGTTACAGCGTGGTCCAGCCTTCCTCTTCTAGATATGGTTGAAATTGGTTTGTGTGCTTGTCAGTTGTGGCTGCAGGGTCAAAATGGGCTTCTAAGCTGCCTGAGCTGTGTGCAAAAGACCTCCACTAACGGGTAAGAGATGGCTGAGTGAAGCCCTGCAGAGTGTGTCTGTTGCGGAAGGTTGAAGAAGTTGTGCGATAGTAAATCGGATGGAGGATTACAACCCCAATGCGTCATCAAATCATGGCAGGCTTCCTCTTATAGCAAGTCTTCTTTCAAGAGTTCAAGGGGATTATGGCAAGTACACATGTTTAATTCTTTGCAGATGCAGAGTTGTTGCAGGGGGTTGGTTTCGGAAATATCCATCAACCAAACAGGAAATGTAAAGTGGGATCAAGATGCAATCCATGGACATGCCACAGTTCATGTCCTGTAAGTCTGAATTGGCGTCCTTTGAGTGCCTGTGTTTTAATCCTATAGGTAGGAGTCCATGGATGGGGCGTACGAGAAGCCCACAAAGGCCTCTGAACCATCTTTGATGCTGGCTGTGGCGAGCGCGCTGTCTGGGGAACAGCCAATGGAGCTGGGCACCGGCTCGTCTGTGAACTCTGGATCAAAGTGCCGCAGGTCGTTGGGTCCCGTCTGAGAGGGAGGAAGACAAGAAGGGGGATTAGTCAGGCGGTAAAATACCTTGTAAATGTGTTCAATCACAGCAAGGATGTTCCACACTCTCAATCTAGTTATGTAAATGTGAATACTGAGGACTAAGTCTGTGCTTTGGCTGTATAAAATCCTAAATCTGCTTTAATCAGCAGTTATTGTGGTATTAAAAGGAACGTACCACGTTGGGGTTGAAGGGAGGGGTGATCTTCTTGGCATTGAGGTCATCCCAGTTGATGGGGGAGAAGAAAACGTGGATCTTAATTTCAACCTGTGAAGAGACACAAATGACCAATAATCAAATGATGCCCTTAATGTACATATTTAGTCAATAAAATGCATACATATCAACATGCAGCCACAATAACTAAACACTTACAAAGTCCTCTGTGCAGCCCAGCCTCTTTGTTCTGTCTTTCTGCAGCAGGCCCTCCAGCAGGTGTCGGGCTGCGTTGGAAATGTTAGGTTTCAGCTGCAGAGGCTTGTTCAGTATGTTGTCATACATCTCTGCTGTGTTGCGGCTGTAGAACGGCGGCTGGTGAGGGACAAAAATAACTGATAAGCATCTTGGCAACAAGCGAATAATCCACATGACGAACACACTGATTGCATCTTTTCAAATCATGCATGTAGAGACACGCGGAACAAAACTGAGATAAGAATTGCTTCATTGTGTACAGTACAACTCATCATTAAAGTGCAGATTTTAAAAAGCAATGTGAATGTTACTCACCAGGCCATAGAGCATCTCATAGAGCACCGCACCTAAACACCACCAGTCTACCGTCCTGTCATAGGGCTGCTTGTGTAGGACCTCAGGAGCTAAATACTGCAGAGAAAAAAAAGATGGGGTAAGTTTTATTACAGGATATTACAGAGAGCTGTCAAGTTCTGGGTCACCGGAAAGCTTTTCCTTACCTCCGGTGTACCGCAGAAGGTCGACGTGGTCCCGTTGGGTTCGATATTCTCCTTGCACAGGCCGAAATCGGTGAGAATGATGTGTCCCTGTGAGTCCAGCAAGATGTTCTCTGGCTTCAGGTCTCTGTACACGATGTTGAGGGAGTGAAGGTATCCCAGTGCGCTGGCGATTTCTGCGGCGTAGAACCTGGCTCTAGGTTCGAGGAAGCAGCGCTCTCGCTGTAGGTGGTAGAACAGCTGGAAGATAAGGAAACACAAAGTTAGTTAAACCCTCAAATACCTTGATTATGTTTGAAATAATCTAAAAATGGCATGAGCTCGGATAGTAAATTAAAAGTTCAACAATAAAGACAGCCAAGAGGAAACAGGATAGGAAGAAATAAAGAGGCAGGAAAGGCTTTACAAGTTTGACAGGGGAAGACAGATTAAAGGGAGGCAAAGGTGGAGGGAGAGAGCTGCAGGGTAGAGGGAGAAAGAGGGGAAGAAAAGAGAAAGAAGAGAAAAGGAGAGTAACTACATCCTGTTTCCTGATGAAGCCCATATTTAATCAGCACTGTCTTTACTCGTCCAACAATCACAGGAAATTAGCTGGATTGGGCACACACTGAGTCTGAATGGTGCTGCTAAATTTGGCCCAAAAGTCTCTCCCGCTGTCCCGACCAACCCCATGATTTCCTGAGAGGTGTTTCCTTTAGAAAGGCAGAGAGCTTCTAATCTGCATCTCATGGCAGGATATCCCCTCTGTCTGTCTGTGTTTCTGCCTCATCTTCGATCCTGGTACTCAGAATATTATTCCTCTCCAAAAACTGCCCCTTCTAAAAGCACCTACTTTAAATAGCTGAGCTTCTCCCTTTATCATCTCTGCTTTGTATCTTTCTTTCTAGCACAGTTCAGCCTGTAACTCACCTCTCCTCCATTGATGTAGTCCAAGATGAAGTAGAGTTTGTCCGTTGTTTGGAAAGAGTAATGCAGACCCACCAAGAAAGGGTGCTTGACATTCTTTAGCAGCACATTCCTCTCTGACATGATGTGTTTCTCCTGGGGAATAAAAGAGCAGGGGGTATAAGGTTAGAGAGGTTGACAAAGAGTAGGCATGTGCACTTTTGGCATGTCTGGAGCCACACTTACCTCCTTTTTCTTGAGGATGGCCTTTTTCTGTAAGACTTTGACTGCGTAAAACTGGTCATCAGCGCGATGGCGTGCCAGCAGGACCTTGCCGAAGCTGCCCTTGCCGATCACCTTGAGGAAGTGGAAGTCGCTGGGTTTGGCGGAGGGGTTTAAGGATGGACCGAGGTTGATCTGTTGGGAAGGACTTGGCTGCAAAAGGTGGAGAAGATGACAAAGTTAGAACCTTATAATGACCCCACAAATCTATGGTAAACAGTGTGTTTATAGTTCTGCATATGGTGAAATGTAAGCAGAGGAAGCAACGCACAATAGTCTGTTTATTGAAATACTTACAGGAGGAGAGGGGTTTGCATTCATAAGCTCAGGATCCTGAGGAGGACTCAGGTTCAGAATAGACTGAACTTCAGGACTGAAAAATAAACAAAGAGTTCCAATTGAGTTCATTCAACAAAGCATCAAGAGATTATTCAATTATTTTAAATATGTTAATCAGCTGATTAGGGAGTCACAAAGTTCCTCCAGAGGACAGAGACTGACTGGCATTTACTGCCTGTGTTTCCAAACGCTTTGTCCTCCAGTGACACAGAACAATAACATGAGTCAGATGGTACTCACTGCTTGCAGGCGTAGGAGTTGGTGGCCAGCCTCTGAATGAAGTCGTTCAGACCCATCTTTCTCTGTTTCATAAAAGCTGCAACACAAAAAAGAGAGAAAATACAGTTTAGATTTTAAATAAAATAAAGCAAAAAGAGGTCCATCCATTCCATGAAGAATCAAATATCCAGTTACCAGTGATTAAGGCAACTATCCCTCTAGATTTGGAGTAAGTCAGGACAGGCATCTCTGTTTCTGTTTTGACCGTCATGATGTGATGTGGTAAAGACAGCTCTCTGCCTTCAAACTAAAATATAACTCCCATGCCTTTGCCTTTAGTTTTATAAGAGGCCGGAGGAGGGAGGAGCCGCCCAACACACCCACACCCCCTGGTGGGCGTGATGCTCTGCAAACATTTCTTTCAGCTATGTGGCCCGTGAGAACATGATCGATCACGTTGTCGACCAATCAGAGGCCGTTGCGCTTCTAACGCGTCACAACCGCACCTCAAGATGTGCTTGCGTCAAATAACACGAATAATTGGGAAAAAAATATTTACCACTACTCACTCAAAGGTGTGTACTATCTTGCACATATGTTTGTGCAACACCATCATTTTCCTAACATGCCATGGGTTAATTCTCATCAAAACAACCACATTTCAGTCTGCATTTAAGCTGCAAACACTAATCCTATATATAGGCTAATGAGATCCAGATGTGTGCAGCAAGTAACATATGGTGGTATTTAATGTTCCTGCAGTACAGAAAAAAACTCCAAATTATGCAAACAAGTGAAAATTAAGTAAAACTGCCAGAGAGGGTTCATGAGATTCGGGATATTTCCCCAACCTCCTGATTATTTTTGTAACACTCCACCACCTGACCTCCCCCTATGAGATTGCAACTTGGTCCTGAACAAATAATCTGATGGCCTCTTAACTAGGCCTATCAGCTTCACCGTTTGGCTGCTTCTCAATTAAAACGGCCGGGAGTGACGCAGGTTCCCTGGGTATACAAATAACTAGAGGGAGAGCAGAGGGCGGCCCGGTGCCAAGAAAAAAAGCCGCTGGTAGTGGAAAAGTACAGACTGAGACACTTCTGAATACATCCAACTCAAGCGAATAAAACCGGCATATCAGACCCAGGATCTGTTTTCAACAAACCGGCAAACCTCTCAGAAGAAGCCAAAACAGTTCAATGTGATGATGAACATGTATAATGTGGAAAATTACTACTCGATTTGCCTGTTGGCACATAGAAGACCACACAGCGAATTTGGTTATGTAAGGCACCTGGTTCAATTTTGATCAACACACCCAAGAGGAATGTAGTATGTAAGACGATAATCCATAGAAGCAATTTATAACACATTATACAAATATATTGATAACCGTGCGTTAAAAGGAAGGAGACATAGGCAAAACATCCATATTAAAATAAACTGAGTTGAAGAGTTTAAAGAGAAAAGCGGAGTGGAAACAATGCAGGTTAATGAACTGTAACTTTTCTGCAAATGCACAACAATTGTCCAAGTCTTGCGTAAAAACGTATAATGTCCCAGGAATTCGGTTTATTAATTGCTTAAATTACACACAACAGTTCATCACAAAACAAACCTTTCAGTTCTGATGGACTTCTCATTTCACTGCCTGCAGCGTCAAGGATCAACAAGTCGCAAAATAGAGTTGCCCAGTTTTCTCTGGCACTTTTAAAAGACCCCCTATCAGCAGGCTTTTTTTCCATAGATAACAGCATCATAAATCCAGGTCACGCGATTACTGGGTGAATGGAGCGCCCCCCGAGAATGTCTACCAGCTTTATTGCAAACACTCAACACACAGTAAGTTAAATTACTGAGCTTAAGCCTCTTACAAAGAAACGATATCACAATAGGCTGACAACCATTAAACCATATTGCATAGACATACAGTTAATTATACGGGCATTATACAAATATCATAGAGACTTTTTCGAATGGAGAAACCATCGCTGTTGGTTCGAAATGAATATGCAGCCTACTTACACGTCAACGCGGTTGTTTTGTCTTTCATAGGGTTTCTTTATTTTCTGAATCACAACAAGGAGTGAGGCTTTAGGTTCCTCGGCAGGCAGGTAATCAAACTTCCCCGCATTCCTGATCTTGAAGACTTTCCTCCAGAAGATTATTTCTTCTTTTTTTTCAGGGCGGAGACGTTCCGCCTCTATTTCCTTCCACTCTCCAGTTTCGTGCACGGCTCAATGAGTTTTCCTCAGGGCGGGGGAAGTGCTGCCTTCAAAGTCTCCCTATAAACTCCTACTTTACAGTTCAGCCAGACATCTAGAATATAGACCTGACTTTGTATTTAATTAAGAAATTAACAAAGGTAAAAAATATCACGTGGCTTTTCCCAGCAACGAAATTGCTTGATTTAGGAGTCAAATAAAAGAAAAATGACTTCAAAGTATGGAAGCCTATTTGTGCCAAAGTGACAAAAAATATGCTTTTATTAATTTTACTGAGCAACCTTCCAAAAAGGATGAAAATAACTAAATGTTCTGAGATACAAAACCATTATTTCAAGAAAATGTATCATTATAATAACTCACAAGAGATGTTTTTTTGATTGAATTTTTTCTTCTGGCGGCAATGGATGTCCACAGTATCAATCTGCAAAGTATACTCCAACACACACATAATAGCATCAAACCATATCACTGAGTTGGTGACACATTTTTCTAGCACCTTCTAACTTCTTGAAACAACCTCTTGAAAAAAAACTCAAGAACTGGTTAATAGTTAGAGGATGTAGCCTACGCAAACATTGGGTTTATTTAATTTCCCCTTGTAGACAGTTTTTTCCCTTTCAGCCTGCTTGCTGAGGTCGTTAACCCGCTGAACTCGGAATTAAAAAGTAAACCGGATTTGGAAATGTACAGAGTTCTCATTAACTTAACCTTTGAGAGCCCACAACAAGTTGAGGCAGTATTAATAAACATGCAAATGTTGTGCATGTCTATAGACGCTTGGGGTATTTCAGGACAATGCTTTGCAGATTAGTGTTTATGTGCGTGAGTAGAGAACTGATAGATGAATGAAAGGAAACATAAAAATGAGGACACCAGTGGTAAAATACTAAACATGTGGACAGGTGATGCACTAATGAAAACACCATGGAATAAACAGTGATGGTATAACGTATTTTAACTAAACCAATGACATTCCAATCACAAATCTTATGAAGTGAAAATGCTATGCTACAGAAACATTGTTGTTAGATAGTCAAAATGCAGAGCCAAAGACATGGTGCAATTAAAGCTTGTCCAAAAAAGACTAAGAGTAGAAGATGGCTCCAAATCAGAATCAGGATCTGTTTTATTACCAAGTAGGTTTAAACATAAGAGGAATTTGCTTTGGTATATGTTATGCATACAAAGACCCCTGGCCTCTCCCAACATTTTTTTTTAATCTTTGTACATGTACAGTATGCGACTCTGCAGATTTTAAATATAACCTCAACTTTTCTGTGCTTGTCTCTGTATTTCCCTTTCCTCAGGTCAAATCTATTATTAATGTCGCTCATAGCCACCTGGAGCACACACACAAAGACACTTACACACACACATTCACTTACAGCTGGAGGGCAAGACAAACCAGTGAAGAGCCTGACAGAACACGAACACACACACTTACTCATGCGATTACACACACACACAAGGGCACATCAGGTACTTCCTAAACTTTCTCAAGGTGTCCAACACGCCTCGCCTCACTGCACCAACAAGAACGTAGCAGTGTTTGTCAGAAAAAATATATTTCTCATTAAGACAGCACAGGTTGCTATAAGCTTCTTTCAACATCTTTCACAAGCACTTGAAAGCATCATGTGCTAAACAAGATATACACATTTTTATACATCAAATTTTGCCTCCTCAAATAATAAGAAAAAGCGTTGTTGACCTTGAAAACCTCCACACAGATGAATACAAGAACACCGGTTTGAAATGTCGAATAACGAGCAGCTACTTAGCTTTTTTTATCCAAGGACTAACTAGACCCTCCAGAAAAACGCGGGCTAAAATCCTTGATTATGCGATTAAACATGCAGGGTTTTTATGTGATTTTATGCGGTGAAGCAGAAAGCATTTTCGAATGTTTGAATGAATCAAAGTGGGTCGTCACCGTCGATTTTCTCTAAGACGTATGCTCCAACACACAGTTGCACGAGGTGCAGAATAATTCTTTCGTGAAAGACATCGGGGTACTGCTTTGCCCGGTCTTTAGCAGAAATGTTCGTCGTGTGAGTTCCACACGTTCACTCTACGGTGTTGTTTACCTTCTGTGATGCGCGAGCTGATGACGTCACGTCATCATCATCACTACTTCACGTCAAGACGAGTTAACTTTTTTTTTTCTCAACTTTGTGTGGAAAAATGTGGGGATTAAATTGATAAATATGCGGCCTTTTAAAAATCTGCGCCATTTTGCTGATTATGCGGTAAATTCTGCGATCGCAGGATCGCGTTTTTCTGGAGGGTCTAACTAACAACCAAACCATGTAGCAAGAGAGGAATAAAAGTTACTATGAAGAAGATTTTACCTCCGCACTGCTCTGATGTCTGCATCTCTGCTAATTTAAATCGCCAAGTTTAATGAAATGAAAGAGAGGTGTTGAGAGAGGATCAGGAGAGAGGGAGCGAGTCCAATACCAAAAAAAAGGTCCACTCAGTGTTTTCCTATCCTGACCTTTCTCGACTGTCAGGCTGCTTTGACCCAAACAAGAGGAGGCTCCAAAATACTCAAGTATTTGTTCATTGCCCACTTTCTATGTGTGTGTGTTTGTGTGAGAGAGAGAGATTCTAGTGCATTATATAACTTAGTAGTGGCACTATAATTGGTGCCAAAACCAGCATTGATTCACACACACGTAGGGAGCCATTCCATGAAAGGACAGGAAGAAGTTTGCTTCAGTGCCAGAGGGCTAGAGGTGAAGGAAATTAAAGTCCTAGAATAAATACACACACACGCTCCATCGGCCCACCCATACAGAATTCCCAACATATAAACAATGAGCAGCGTATGCCCAGATTCATGCTTTCTCCGGAGAGATCCATACAT